CAGGTGGCTGAGTCAGGTCAGGTAGCTGCGTCGAGTCGAGCGTCTGCGTCAGGGCAGTTAGCTGCGTCTTGCTCGTGCAGAGTACTCACGTACGAGACTCAGCGCTGGCACCACCGTCTTGGTCACCCCTCCCTGCAGCGCCTGCGCGGCATGCACTCTCGGCTCCTGGTCACTGGCCTCCCTGAGACCCTGCCCCCCCTCCCGCGCTCACTTGCGCCGCCGTGCCTTCCTTGCGTCGAGGGGCGGCAGCGCGCCGCTCCTCATTCCTCCGAGTTTCTTCCGACCACTGCTCCTCTGCAGACTCTCCACCTGGACGTGTGGGGCCCGGGCCCCGTCAGTGGGACGGACCAGGAGCGCTACTTCCTGCTGGTTGTTGACGACTACACACGCTACACCACAGTCTTCCCCTTGCGTCGCAAGGCGGACGTCAGCGGTGTTTTGATCCCCTGGATCCGTGCTACTCGTCTCCAGCTACACGAGCGCTTTTAGCAGGACTTCCCAGTCTTGCGTCTGCACTCTTACAGGGGTGGTGAGTTCTCTTCTAGCGTCCTTGAGACGTTCTGCCAGGATGAGGGCATCGCCCAGTCGTTCACGCTTCCGGCCTCTCCGCAGCAAAATGGGATCGCTGAGCGTCGCATTGGCATGATCATGGAGGTTGCTCGTACCCCCATGATCCATGCGGCTGCTCCCCATTTCCTGTGGCCGTTTGCGGTCCGATACGCCGCGCATCAGCTCAACCTCTGGCCCCGTGTCTCTGCTCCAGAGACCTCGCCCTCACTTCGTTGGACGGGACAGCCTGGTGATGTGTCGTCGTTTCGGGTCTGGGGCGCGCTCTCCCTTGTTCGCGATACCAAAGCGAGCAAGCTCTCTCCTCGCACTCTCCACTGTGTCTTCTTGGGCTTCCCCACCGACGCTCCACCCTGGCAGTTCTACCACCCTGCCTCGCGTCGTGTTCTGTCCTCTCAGGACGTCACCTTCGACGAGTCGGTCTGTTACTACCGACTTCACCCGCACGCGTCCCACCCGGTCCCCCTTGCACCCCTCTTCCTGGTACCAGTCCCCCCCCCGGTAGACCCCCTTCCCCCACAGGGTCCTGCTCCCTCAGGTGTGTCCCAGGTAGACCCACCCCCCTTGGATGAGCCAGTTGAGATCTCCTCTGACTCCTCTGACTCACCTGAGGGGGGTGACGCCGTCGCCGACGACACGGCGACCACTCGCCGCACTCCTCGCTTTGAGACCCCCCCGGGTTTCCCGCCACGGCCGTCTTCGCTGCTTCCGCAACCTGCTGCTGTGGACTCTGGAGCTGAGACTTCTGGAGCTGGGGCTGGGGGTGGTGAGTCTGGGGGTGCCCGCTCTCCTCGTCTGGCTACCCCCCCCGGGTTCCCACCTCTGCCGTCTTCGCCGCCTCTGCAGCCTGCTGCTGTGGACACTGGAGCAGAGACTGAGGGTACTGAGCCTGGGGGTGCTGGGACTGAGGGTCCTGAGCCTGCGAGTGCTGAGACCGAGAGTCCTGACTCTGGGGGTGCTGCGAGTTCGGGTGCTGACTCTGGGGGTGCTGCGAGTTCGGGTGCTGACTCTGGGGGTGCTGCGAGTCCGTCTGGTGTTGGTGTCGTCGGAGCTCCTACCGGAGGACCTGGAGCTACTGGTGCTGGAGGTACTCGAGGTGCTGCTGGTGCTGGAGAGCCTGGGGATGCTGCTAGTGCTGGAGGTCGTGGAGCTGCTGGTGCTGGAGGTACTGGAGGTGCTGCTTGTGCTGGAGGTCGTGGAGCTCCTGGTGCTGGAGGTGCTGCTGGGGCTGGAGGTGCTGGAGGTCTTGGTGGAGGTACTGGAGGTGCTGCTGGTGCTGGAGGTCGTGGAGCTGCTGGTGTTGCTGGTACTGGAGGTGCTGCTGGTGCTGGAGGTGCTGGAGCTGCTGGGGCTGGAGGTGCTGGAGGTGCTGGAGGTCCTGGTGGAGCTACTGGTGCTCTTCGCCACCTTCTCAGTCTTCAGCCAGGTGCTACTGGCTTCCCTGTGGCAGGTACTACTCCTCCGTTGCTGTGTCCACCGGCGGACCAGTCACAGCCACCGCTGCTACCACACTCCCCACTGCCTGCTCCTTCTCCTTACACTGCGGTGTCAGAGTCCCTGACTGAGCGTCGAGAGCCTGAGACTCGTGCTTCCACCCCTGAGCGTCGAGAGCCTGAGTCTAGCTTTGACCTTGAGCCTGAGCCTAGAGCTGCTGTCCGTGCTCGTGTTCCTCGTGTTCGTCGTCAACGTGCTCCGGTTGTCCCCGGCACTCACGATATGACACTCCGTCCTTCCTCTGTTCCTCAGCGTGTTGTCCTACCGTTACCTCCTGCGTCCTCTCTGCCTGACGTTGCTGACCCTCCGTCTCACCTTGCTCGTGCGTCCAGTCCGACTGTTACTCGCCTTCTTGCTACGGTTGTGACGGACCCTATGTTCTCGTCTCCTGCTGCGTCTGCCCTAGTAGCTGAGCTCGTTGACTTTGCTGTTGTGTACCGCCTAGACTACATTGCGAGTCTTGTCTCTGACCCTGTCCCTGCCTGTCCTCCGTCCGTCGGGGGTGAGACTGCTCTTGGCTGTACTGCCCTTGGCTGTGACGTTCTTGAGGACAGACAGGAGGAGCTGGAGTGCCTTGCTGCCGCTTCACCCCATCACGCGACCATGCTGCTTGCCCCTGAGGGAGACCCGGATGCACTTGACATCCCCACCCCGCGCTCCTACAGGGAGGCGATTTCGGGTGCGTACTCCTCTCAGTGGCAGACTGTCATGGACGCAGAGATGGCTTCCTGGAAGTCCACAGGCACCTACGTCGACGAGGTTCCCCCACCTGGGGCGAACATCGTCAGTGGCATGTGGATTTTCAGGGTGAAGCGGCCGCCGGGTTCTCCGCCTGCCTTCAAGGCACGTTACGTTGCTCGAGGCTTCAGTCAGCGTGAGGGCGTCGACTTCTTTCAGACCTTCTCCCCCACCCCGAAGATGACCACTCTTCGGGTGTTGCTACACGTTGCAGCTCAGCGTGACTACGAGCTGCACTCCCTCGACTTCTCGACAGCTTTCTTACAGGGTAGCCTTCACGAGGCCATCTGGTTGCGCCGTCCACCTGGCTTCACTGGGTCGTTTCCTGAGGGTACCCAGTGGAGCCTACGGCGACCAGTGTACGGCCTGCGTCAGGCGCCCCGCGAGTGGCACGACACACTGAGGACGACACTTGCGGCTCTTGGGTTTGCTCCTTCGACTGCTGACCCGTCGCTGTTTCTACGCACCGACACTTCTCTGCCGCCGTTCTACATCCTCGTGTACGTTGACGACTTGGTTTTTGCTACTGCTGACACTGAGGCACTGGCCCTAGTGAAGGCGGAGCTGCAGGAGAGACACACCTGCACTGACCTGGGTGAGCTGCGGAGCTATCTTGGCTTGCAGATCACCCGGGACAGAGCACGGCGCACCATCACCCTGACTCAGTCACATATGGTGCACCAGGTCCTTCAGCGCTTCGGCTTCCAGTTCTCCTCGCCACAGCCCACTCCTCTGTCTACCGGCCACTCGCTCTCAGCTCCACCTTCGGACGAGTCCGTAGAGCCGAGTGGTCCGTACCCAGAGCTTGTGGGTTGCCTCATGTACCTGATGACGTGCACTCGACCTGACCTCGCGTACCCTCTCAGCCTTCTGGCTCGCTACGTGGCACCCGGTAGACACCGAAAGGTGCATGGGGATGCTGCGAAGAGGGTACTGCGTTACTTGTGCAGTACATCGGGCATGGGGCTCGTGCTTGGAGGACAGGGTTCAGTGGTACTCACAGGACACTCTGGCGCTTCTTGGGCCGACGACCAGGCGACTCAGCGTTCGTCACAGGGATACACCTTCAGTCTTGGCTCTGGTTCTGTCTCGTGGAGGTCCACTCGTTCTTCTTCTGTGTTTGGCTCCAGCTGTGAGGCCGAGATCTACGCTGGGGCCATGGCTGCACAGGAGCTACGCTGGCTGACCTACCTGCTGACCGACTTGGGGGAGCGGCCTCGTTCTCCTCCAGTTCTGTACGTCGACAACAAGGCAATGCTTGCCTTGTGTCGCGAGCAGAGACTGGAGCACAGAACGAAGCACATTGCTCTTCGCTACTTCTTTGCGCGTGAGCTGCAGCAGCGTGGTCAGCTGCGCCTTGCTTACGTGGCCTCTCGGGCCAACACTGCTGATGTCTTCACCAAGGCCCTTGGGTCTGGTGATCATCAGCATTTCAGCACTGCTCTTGGGCTTGTGCCCACTCTGCCTCACCTGCTGGTTGCTTGACTTGCTCTTGTTGTACACTGCTATATATCTTTATACCTGCATGTTTCCTCTTGCTAGGTTGTGATCTGTGTACTGCCTTGCTATTATAACTCTGCATGTGAACTGGCCTTGTGGCCGCCTGCTTGTGCTCAGATTGTGTGGTGTCCTTGAGATCCACCCTGGGCTTTGCCTTGCTTGTTCTCTTGCTTGACTGGTTTTGTGACCACTGTTAGGATTGGCTATCCCCTACTTCACCTATGGGGGTGTGTCAAAACATATACTTCTCTTCATTTCACTCTAAGTTGTGTAGGGTTTATTCCTTAGAGGGTACAACCCAAATTCCCTCGATAGTCTTGTACCCCTCCCCCTTACCTAATCGACATTCTCACCTAGCTAGTGATTCTAACACACCCCCCTAAAAAAACATGTTTTTCTTTAAGCGCACCTGCGCTACTATCCGGGGTTATACGGTAAATGTGTACGTTGACAATAACCTATACCCTCTACAGCACAACCCAGCCTAGACTAACAATGTACGCCGACAAACGTATATGTGTACTTTGACAATTCGCACTAGAAATTCGGTTGCAAAATAGTGTCCTGTTTTGACTGTGGTGGTAATGAACTTCTGGATAAAATTACCTCACTACCGTTAAAACCCTGGGGTTCCATTAAACAGGCGCTTACAATATACACTCTGTACAAGGGGTATAGTGCAGTTCGGCTTGCTCTGATGCTCATTCCACATAATCTATGTCATCCGTGAGTCCAACCTGCACACCAACCACCACCGGCACCAAACACCAGCTCAAACAATTGGCAACCACTAGAGTAAGTCTGTGACTCCATCTCCCACTCAACTCCCTCTCCAGTTCGATTACAACCAAAGATTCTGGCTGTCCCATTGAAAGACCCCTGCCTCACCTCTTCATACAGCTGGGCGAGCTTCTCAGGCGCTTGTGGGAACTGGTCGTTGCACCACTGCTGCAGGGCGAAGATGTTCTCTGGCAGGGGTGAGAGGGGCCGTGCGACACATGGGTGGGTGCATCGCGCTCAGTGCCTTGTGGCCATGTGGGCTGGAAGGAGAAAAATAAAGGTCACAAGCCGCATAGAGTAAGACGCCGTGTCCAGATGAGGGAGGGCTTTCATGGATATCCATGAGTGAACGAGGTGGTGGTGGGTGCGAGAGGGGCATGGGTGCAGGCGGGTCACCTGTCCATCGATTGGCAGCATCCTTGGCTATCCGGGTGACTTTGACTGCACACCCACACCACGTGCACAGGCCACATGTGAGGCAAGAATGGCATAGAAGAGGCAAGGTGGTGAGAAGAGGATGGCAGAAGGCATGGTGAATGGGAGTGAGAAGATACGATAAACGGCGACTGGTGTATGGAGAGGGGAGCATGGTGGGGAGAGAGAAAGAGTGAGGAGCATGAGGAACATGTTTTGTGTCTGGTGGTGCAGCAAAATGAGAGAGAAGGGAGCAACAACACGGGAGAGCGATGAGGGGCAGGCAGAAGCGACGCACTCTTGTGCTCGAGCAGCTCTGGGTCATTCTCCGCAAACTCTGCCAGCTCCTCCTGCACACACACAGGGAGTAGGGAGGCGCACCCAAGGAAGCACACACACGACCACAAAGTGTCGGGAGGAAAGACGAGCCTGACCTGAGCGCACAAACAGTGAGGAGGAGGGGACGGAAAGGCAGCAAGAAGGAGGGGACGGGAGCGAGGAAGACGGAAGCCATGCAGCTGCCATACGAACGTACCACCACATAACTCCCTCCTCTTCCCCTCTCCTCACTCGCTCACACACGTCCTGTCACCCCTGTCGTTGCTGCACCCCTTACCAGTGCCGTGGGCGCGCACCTTGAGCTTGCGGTTCTTCGCCTGCAGCACAGCCAGCTCGCCCAGCGCCTTGCTCCGCTCCTCCTGCCATGCACGCCACACACACCCGCATGGCCATGCCGCATGTGAGTATAGAGTACCAAGTTCATGCTGTGCGCGGAACAACAGAGCCGGGAGCAGTGCAAGGAAAGCCGTGTGGCTCAAGCCGAGTACACGCTGTCAGTACGCCAGTGTCGAAAGGGAGCAAGGCAGCAGTGCGTGGCAGGGGTGGCACTGACCGACTGCTGTCGGCCCGCCTGCGCGCTTTGAAGCCTGGCCTCCAGGCGCGCCTTCTTGGCCTGCAGCTCGCCCACCTCCCCTGTCAGCTGCGCCTCCGCTTGCCGCAGCTGCACGGAGTGCCCGTGGGGAGGTGCGGTGTTGAGGGGTTGTAATGGGATTTGAAAAGGATGGGATGGGATGGGATGGGATGGGATGGGATGGGATGGGATGGGATGGGATGGGATGGGATGGGAAGGGATGGGATGGGATGGGAAGGGATGGGATGGGATGGGATGGGATGGGATGGGATGGGATGGGATGGGATGGGATGGGATGGGATGGGATGGGATGGGATGGGATGGGATGGGATGGGATGGGATGGGATGGGGTGGGATGGGATGGGATGGGATGGGATGGGATGGGATGGGATGGGATGGGATGGGATGGGATTGGATGGGGTGGGATGGAATTGGATGGGGTGGGATGGGATTGGATGGGGTGAATGAGATGAGATGAGCAGGTAGGAGGCGTGGGGAAGGAAGGCGGGGCGGATGCAGTGACGCCTACACAGCAGCGAGCAGGCAGGTATGGCGTGTGGTGCGACGAGAAGGGCAGCATGACATGACATGCATGGATGGCTGCGTGGAGCAATGAACGAGAAAGCGGGCAGGCTGACCTTGTTCCCTGCACTGCTGGGCAGACTCCAGAAGTACACCTGCATGGAGAGGTGGAGACAGGGGCGTAGATGAACAGTAAGGGAGCAAATGAAATGCAGGGCAGGGACACGATACTGGAAAGGAGCAAGACAAAGGGCTCATTACGACATGTCGTCCCCTGAGCTGGGAGAACTGAATCCTCCCTGTTATGAGCTGTTGCTGTGTTTGACTGTGCCCAGCCAGTCAGTGTGTACCAGGCGCTGACAGAGCAGACAGTACAAAGGTCGCTGACAGGCACACCCATCTCGCGTCCATGCACTGCGAGACACGGGCTGTGCATGCCATGCGCACACAGGTCTCGCTCACGCCCGTGCCTTGCAGAGAAGCACCAGCACCGATCTGTGCTAGGCAGCGGAAGAGGCGCAGACGAATGCACTGAGCAGAGACATAGCAGCGTGGTGGGGGCGGGAAGAGCGGGACGGAGTTGGGGGTACGGGTGTGGGGGGGTGGAGGGGGGGCGGGAGTGGGGAAGGCGGCAGCAGGGCGAGGCGAAGGGGGGGTGGCAGCGGGGCGAGGGTGGCGGGGGGTTGACTGACGGAGGTGCCGATCTTGTCGCGCAGCACGAGGTCGTCGTCCACGAGCGTCTGTATCACGTCCTTCACCGCCTGGCTTATCACTCCCCGCTTCGACCCCATGCGCTCCAACTCCTTCAGCTGCCGCCATGGCACACGGGTGCGCGGGAGACAGGCGCGCGGGAGAGAAGATAGAAACGGATAGGACGTGTGGGGATAAGGGAAAGCACGGAGAATCGGAGGGGCGAGGGAAAGGGGTGAGCTTTAATCGGGATGTGCATACGGCTTAAGAAAAATGCAAGCTTGCATATGAGAGGGTGCGGGGAGGAGAGCGAGTGGGGTTGGGGCGGGGGCGGCAGGAGCGCACGAGGAAGAAGTCCTTGGATTCGTAGAAGATCTCGAGCATCCTCTCGCGCTTCTCCTCCAGCGACAACCCGCGCTTCTTCGCCTGCGCCGCCTTCGACTGCCCGCCGCCCGCCGGGCATACAGCAGGGGTTCGTGCGAATTGGGGGGGTGAGTGACGAGCGGAGAGAGAAGAAGAGGGAATAAGCTTGGGATAACTCGTGGCATCTGTGGGAACATGCTTGACAGCAAAAGCACTGGTGTATGTGCGATCGCGCCTACCATTATCGGCAACTTCTGTCCGCCGCGCACGCGCGCCCAATGTCAAACTTTCACTCTCGGCAACGATATCAGCGCTCTCAAGAAAACACGATGCGAAGAAGCTAACTTGAGGTGAGTACTAGGGGCACGTTGGAGAATTAGGAGGGAGGGGAATACAAGGAATAAGATGAGGAGCGGGAATGGATATACACACGATGCTCAACCCCTGCGCGCGAATTTTCCCTGCCCAGGATGGAAAGTCTGCACCTGTGTTTTTTTTTACCAGCCCGTTGCACCCACATTACAAGCTCCTCGAGCAAGTTGCAGTGGTTATGAACCAATAAGAACCACAGAAACTGAAGTCAAACAGAAGAGACCGAAGTCAAACTGTCAACGGGGAGTTACAAATGTTTTATAAACCCTTTTTTGCTAGGTACGACGTTGACGAAATTTGCGAAATGCCCAGTATCAATGTTTTCTTGGCGCAATGTTTTCTGGTAACCAGCCTGGCTCGGGAGGTCAACTGTGGGTTCGGTAGGCAAACTGTGCACAGTTTGCCTTCCTTTTTTTGTAATTCAGGTCTTGGGCTTTAAAAGCCCCCTTCACAAGGCGACCTTGGGTTAGTCAAACGGGCATCGTGTGTACTGTAGTCGAGCGGTACCACGCAGCCACGAGAACGCCGTGACGGTGGACAATTCTCACCTTAGCTACACTTACTAATTCTGTGAAATTGCTCAACTGCGTGTATCGAACTCTTTATAGAAAAAAACCACAAACATTAACAGCTACTCTCATGCATTATACATCATATAAATGTTCATCTCAAATGTATCAATATAATCTCGCCCTTTTAACCAATTTTAGTCCCGGTGTTCAGAATATTATTTCTATATTATCTAAGATTTCGGGTGGGATTGCGACGTGTCCTCCTGACCTTTAGAGTTGTTGGCGGATGTCGAGACCAGTCTTAGTGAGGTCTGTTGTGCTGTCCCATGTGTCGCAAGGGCACTCTCCCACCACAGTGATAGTCGAAAGACGTGCAGCTTTTTGTTTCCCTTGACCGACCCCAGTCCAGTGCACACGACAGGGCAGAACGGACGCGTCTCTTCCATTCGACGGGCCCGTGACGCCCGTCCTCTCGTCGCGTCGGTCGACAGCCACAAGGTCGCGCTCCTCATCGCACTCCCAGTCCGCTGCACGCTCCTCTACCTCCGCCGCTCTCTGCAACGCCGTCTGCCCAATCCCGCCAACGGGAGCACCATGGGCGCTCGGTCGTTATATACCGCCATGGGTGGGCGATCAATCCCGTCTGTCGTTGCTCCCGAGCGCACCGCGCGATCTCTACTAGAGCACTTGCATTGCTGCTCCCCTTCGCATTTCCTCACGCCGTGCGACTTCAGCGGGCGATCGCGTCCGGCAGGGGTGGGTGAAGGTGAGCGCGCAAGGCGAGTCCACAGGCGGCTGCCCGCCCCTACCTCGTGCGCGCTGCTGCCGCCATGCGGGGATGCGCGCCGTCGCGCGGCGTTACGTGCGCGCGTACGGCACTGCGGCGTCGCGCCAGTGCGTCGCCACACCGCCTGCGTCGAACGCCGCGGGCGATTCGCGGCTCGCCGCTGCCGAAACGACTCGCGACTCCCCGCGGCAATGTGACCTTGGGAGTCGCGCTGCTGCTGCTGGCGGCTGTGGCGGCAGCGCAAGCAGCGACGGCGGCGGGCGGCAGCGCTCGGCGGTACACAATTGCTCCGCTGCGCGGGTTGGATGAGAGAGTGGAGGTTTTCACACTGGCGGAGCGACTGCTGTTCGCGGGCACGGCCGTGCTGCCGCCCTTGGACGACGCGGATGATGCTGCCGCTGACAGCAGCAGTGCGCGTGATGGCGCTGGTGGTGGCCATAGTGGTGGCAGCGATAACGGTGGTGGTGGTGAAAGTGCGAGGGATGGCAGCAGCGAGTCAGGCAGGGAGCAAGACAGCAGCAGTGCGAATGATGGTGCAAGCGAGCAAGGCACACAAGGCAGTGACACGGGCGGAGGCGGCACGGACATCACTCCCGTCGGCAGCAGCACTTCCAGCAGCGGCAGCAGCAGCGGTTCTGGCACGTCAGGTGCTGCAGGGGAGGGCGACCCCAGCGAGGCAGTGGAGCAGCGCAACGAGCAGGCCATCAGGCGCATCCGATACCCGCAGGGGGCGCGCCAGGGGGGCATGCGCGCTGGTGAGAGGGGGGGGGGAAGCGCGGACGCAGGAGGGGAGGCTGCAGCAGCCGCGCAACCTTCCGCCCCTGCTCCTGCTCCTGCGCCTGCTGTTGCTGTTGATCCGTTGGAAGAGCAGTTTGTGAGTTGAGGAATGGCTCTCGCTGTGCTCCACCAAACCCAAGCACACACTCCCACTCTCACTCGCACACGTGCTCATGTGCGTACACCGCCTGCCCTCTCCTGCACTCAACACATGCCACACCATCCCCAGCACCCCTCCTAATCTCTGTCGGACCACACCACGACGCCGCTTCTCCCCCATCCCCACGCCCCCACCGCTCCCCTCCCCCGTGCAGTTACAGCAGCTGGCGCGGGCGGGGGCGGTGGCAGCGCGCGAGACGGAGGTGAAGGCGGTGGTGAGGCGGCGAGCAGCGGTGGGGTTTCCTGGGATCAGCCAGTACAGCGAGGTCAACAGCGGCACTGCGCCCACTTACAACCACTCCATTGTGAGAACCACGTTTTTCCATGCCTGCCATTCGTGCTTTCAAGGACCGCAGTTACCAGAGAAGGAATGGCACGGTGGAGTGGAGTGGAGTGGAGTGGAGTGGAGTGGAGTGGAGTGGAGGCACCTGGGAGAGGCATCTTGCTAGCATAGCATCACACGCTGTACCTTCGTTGCTTCTGTCGTGACCTCATGTGGCGCTGCTGCTGGTGTGTGTGAATGACATGAAATGGCATGGCATGGCATGGCTGTGGTGTGTGTGGCAGGTGCGTGTGACGCCACCGGATGGCGGCTTGTGTGTGGGCAATGGGTTCATACTGCAAACCGTCAACGTTGGTGAGACACTCTCCTCTCCATGCAAGCGCCATCACATACATGTACCATGTGCCCCCTCGCTTGCCACACTCTCGACTCTTATCTCCTATACACGGCTCATCGTGTGCTCTGCTCTTCATATACACACCCATGTGCTCATGGCAGCGCTCGCGGTGTACAACACACGAGGGCGGCAGCTCACTCGCACCATTCCGCACAACGAGGCACGCCACAACTAGACCCCTTTCATGCCCATTGCTTGCGTGCAAGCTTGCAGTGCTTGTGCCAGTTCTCATGCTACTGTTCGCGAATCCTCTCCTTGCAAGTGCTCATTCTCTCGGGTGCATTGCCGGTGCTTGGAAAAGGCGGAGCAAGCTGTCAGCACAGCACGCGTGTGTGTTTGCAGCATTTCATGCGTGTGCATCCGCCCTCACGTCTCTCTTCACGCCAACACGCCCCCCTCGTTAGCACTGGCAAGCATGCCCCTTTTAGAGAACAACGCCCCGCTCATTGCTGCTCATTGAAGCTGTTTCTACTCCTCTTCTCACCCACCCCCTGCCCTTAATGCCACGCATCCCATGGCACGCCACATGCCTTGTGTTGCGTTGCGTCGCCTCTCACACCACGCCCGCAGTTCTTCAACGTGTTGCCGAGTGTGGTGCAGCGCCGGGAGCCGTACAGCGCATCAGTGCGGGGGGACAACATCGGGGACATGTCGTGCACCTACGACCCTGCCTCCAGGCGATTCTTCCTCTCTGCCTACTGGCTCGTCAGTCCCCCTTCCCCTCCGCTGCTTGCCCTCCCGTTTTTCACGTGCCGGGATGTCGCTGCCTGCCAGCGTGCGGTCGTTGAAGGGCCATGTAGATGCACTTGTCACATTCACCGTGCCCCATGCTTCTTCACCTGCTCTGCTCTCCTGTGGAGGTTTTGAGAAGGTAGTGGGGCCTTGTGGACGGACATGCATGTGTGTGGGCATCCGTGCTTCGTGAAGGTCATGGGTGCCTTTGAGTCGACTCAAAAGACATCTCCGCTATGGCTTGGATTGATCGGACAGAGGGGAGAAAGGGTAAGTTGAGAGTGCGATAGGCGCAGCTTGATGTGGCAGAGGGATTGCCCCTTCTCTCACTCAACTTCATGCTTCATACTTTCTGCCCCTCTGCCGCTTCCCCCTCCTCTCCTCCCCACCCGTGCAGTCCGGAGGGTCAAGCAACGGGTATGACAGGTTTGGGCAGACGAGGCAGCGGGGGAAGCGCACGGTGGGGTCGGGGGTGATAGTGGCGGCGTCCACAGAGGGCGACCCCACCCAGCCCTGGAACGTCTTCTTCATCCCCGGCTCGTATGTCACTCCCTGCCTGCCTCTTTCTCACCACCGCTTGCTGTGCTCCCTTGCTGTAGAGCATGTGAAGCCATGCAGAGCATAGCACTCCCCAGTCGCATCCTGCTCCTCCTGGCATGCCTCCATCTCCCCAAGCTTCTCTGCTCTTCAATGCCAGTGTGCATCAACATCCTTCCCCCCTTGCACTTGCCCGTTCTCCACCGCATCCTCACTGCACTGCACTTGTTCCTTCCCCCACTGGGCGCCAGTCTTGTCGTGCCCCTCATACCCTTGCTGCTGCGAGCTGGTGCGCCTCTTGCATGGAGGTTCGCGTGCACTCTGCGCTCTCCCGTTCTCGCTCTCTTTCTCGTGGATGCATGCTGCATATCCCACTCGTGTGCCATGCAGCATGGCCATGTCACTGCCATGGGTGCTGCGTGCTGCATGGCATGGCATGGCATGGCATGGCATGGCATGGCATGGCATGGCATGGCATGGCATGGCATGGCATGGCATGGCATGGCATGGCATGGCATGCGAACATGCATGTTCTCCTGCCCATGCCCATGGCTGCACTCCATGTGTGGCAGCAATGACGGCAACAATTCCAACCCCGACTGGGGTGCGCCTCTCTACTACAACACATCCAAGCTCACATCTCTCCGTAAGACCGCCACATCGGATCGTCACTGTTACTGCGTGCACATTGCTCTATCACGATACCTCCTGCCTGCCAGGCAGTGCCTTTGGGTATCAGCTACTTTTCAGCTGTGCCTGTGTGGTCCCTTCGTAGTGATGGCTCCTCCAATCATTGTTCTCTGCCCAGGTTCACACATCTCGTCCTTCGTGTCTCCCCTATCCCTGCCGTGCAGAGGACTACCCGCAGATCGGCACGGACGCCCATGGTGAGCTGTGAGGCACGGACGCCCATGGTGAGCTGTGAGGCAGGGCGGCCGAGATGCTCTGTCATTGATGTTGCATACTGCTTGAGGCAGTGGCGGCAGTAGCACAGGGTAGTGAGGAGCAGCAGAGGGCAATAGCAAGGCACGCAAGGTACACAGAACTTGCACAGCCACGCAGCAAGCCACGTACTGGTACCACCTCACTGAGCCATGACCCATGCATGCACCCATGCTGTCCCTGCTTGCTCTCCCCTCCCCCATGCATGTCCCCTGTGTGTGGCAGGTGTGTTTGTGTCGGTGAACCAGTTCGGCTTGGAGGAGTCCAAGTACTTTGGGGCTAACATCTAGTGAGTCCACTGCACCAAGTGTGTCTGTGGGGGGGTTCTGCCATGCAACGTGGTCCAAGGACAAAGGGATATTGGGTGGGGGGTGTAACCGGGTACGCACAGTGAGGTGGCACAGTACGACCTGCAGTGGGCCGTGTCACCGTGTGATTGCTCTGCACGCATGCTGCACTTTCTCAACCTCAAAGGCCTCCGCTTCGGCTCTGCTTACCTCTTATTCTCTGCCCCCCGCAGTCCTACATGCACAGCGTTCGAAGTTCTGCACATTAGACTATGTGGTGTAACTGTATTTGACACGACTCAAAATCATCAGGCATATATGCATGCAACTTTGTTTCTGCGTGCTGCGACCACAGATTCGAAAATCCACATGCTCAACGCTCATCCGCTTTCCCTGTTGATCCCATACCACCCATCTCATTTCTTCCTCCCCCCCCTTCTCTCTCCCACCCATTTCCCTCTCTCCGCACCTCCCAAACCCCTTTCCGCACGCAGTGCCATGGGCAAGGAGCAGCTATCGCGCACATGCAACGCCTCCATCCTACGCTTCGCCATCCCCTACTCGCCAGCGCTCACCAGTCCCTCCTACACCGTGTACCCTCACAAGGTCCCCGCCGATGGCTCCTATGACCGCGCCAACAACGGCACCATGTACTTCGGCTGGATGGGCGTCAATTTCAACGGCGCGCCCAACGAGACCGTTCTCGTTCCCAACGTCACTATCATTGGCGCCTTTGCTCTCACCGGGACCCGCGCGCTCGGGTCAATCGAGGCCGTTGATCGCGTCGTGCCGCACATCGCAGCCGTTGAAACGCCGCCGTTTTTCCTGCCGATGGCGGTGAGGCAGCGGCCGGGGCCCACCCCCACGGCATGGCGGTTCAACCGCAGGGAGGCAGCCATAGACGCGTTTGCAGCGGGCATGCAGGCCGTGCTGGTGCAGCCACAGCGCAGAACCATGTGGCTGGCGTTCACCTCTGCGTTTGGCCCCGCCCTCGGGTCGTCGTCCGTGGTGCTGGCTAAGATCAGGCTAAGACTGAGAGCAGAGGCGTCAGGGGAGGTGGCATCTGGAGATGCGTCGGGGGAGGTGGCATCTGGAGATGCGTCGGGGGAGGTGGCATCTGGAGACTCGTCAAGGGAGGTGGCATCTGGAGACTCGTCAGGGGAGGTGGCATCTGGAGACTCGTCCGGGGAGGTGGCGTCTGGAGACTCGTCCGGGGAGGTGGCATCTGGAGAGGCGTCAGGGGAGGTGGCATGCGTAGAGTCATCCTCAGAGGTGGCCACGAATGGGACTGTGGGGGAGACGGAAGCAGTGGAGGCAGCAAGTGGCGGGTGGTCGTTGGAGGTGCAGCTGGAGGGGTTCAAGGCGGTGGGCGTGCAGGGCAACAGCCTGCTACGCCCTGCCATGGCGCTCAACAGGTGCGCGTGGACAAGACAGGTGTGCTGCCCGGTTGTGAGGTGATGCTGGCTGCTAGGGGAGTGGTGCAAGGTGATGGATCCTTGGCAAGGCTTTGTGGGAAACTGCTGCATGCACAGATGCATACGGCCCCTTTCATCCCCACCTCTCCAATTTGCCTCCTTACAGGCGCGGCAGGGGCATACTAGCGGCCGCTCTGGCGGGCCCGTCCTTCTACCCCTCGGCTGCGTATGCCCTTGTGGATGCGGCCCTGCGTGTTGGGCCCGTCACAGTTGCAGCACCCGGGGGAGCTCCCCTTGATGACTACTCTGGTGAGCCACACTTGACTGCCGCCGCCGAGTGCCTTTAATTGCTGCTGCTGTCGCAGGAGCCGATTGCTTTGCGTGGTTCATACAGCATGGTGCACATGGTCCTGCCTTGAATGAACACCTCATGCTTCTCATGCCGGCGTTATCCCTTTTCCACCACCCTCACACACACACTATCCTTTGTCCTTTCTGATTAGCCACCCCACATCCAACCTCCCCAAACCCGCATGTGCCATGTGGTCCCGTGGGTGGCAGGGTACCTGTTTGAGGAGAGGGTCATGCGGTACGGCGACTACCACACGGCCACCACTGACGAGCACGGCAATGCGTGGGCCGTGGTGGAGTATGTGCCTGGTGTGCCGCGCACCGAGTGGACCAACTGGGCCACCTACATCTTCAACGTCCAACTCTAGTGCCGTGCCGCCCCTCAAGACACTAGTGTCCGGTAGAGCTTGCGTCAGGGTAGTACACTAGTACTGTATATGAGTTGGTTTAGAGCTTAGGACTAGTGGTGCATTCTAGAGACTTGATTTGCAGCATATGCACGGCACTGTAAGCGCTCGTATAGTGGAACCCCCTTACTGTTAGGACCCCCCGGAGTCTACTAGAAAAGCGGGGAAGGTCTACTATTTCCCCTGCCCATAGTGGGACCCCTATTTTGTGAATTATTTGCGCTTAACATCGGCCTGCACCAATATGCCAAGTATGACTCTAAAAACTATGAACTGGACAAATGAACTAGACAAAGTAGGGCAACGTGTCGTTCACTGTCTACCGTAGAATGTACGAAGCTTATATTGGGAAAAGATCATACTGGGGCCGAACAGTGCCAGAGAGGTGATCAACCAGGGGCCGAGAGGCTCGGAACTAACCAGACCGCTGCGCGAGGAGGAATTAACAAGAGGGTCATCGTGTTTTGCACGTATTTATGTTACTAGTTCCTTGTACCGACTGGCATTTTCGCTCGCGTGTCATTTAGCGAGCCGACTCTACCGAGAATTCTAAGGGCAGCCAAAAACTAAAACCCCTAGTGAACCTGGATGCATTTTAGGGATGGATCAACCCTAAAAACGGGAACCTTCCTTGCGTTCAGGGTTGATGCCTCCCGAGTCGCATACGTTTCCGAATGGGTTATATTATTTTTTTCCCAGCGCGTTTCCGATCAGGTGGGCGATATGATCACCTATAATATAATTTGTTCTGTTCTCACAATTTAACACGCCGAATCTTACTTTCAAAAGAATGCGACGCGCTTGTCGTAGTTGATGGCGGTCAGCACCTTCGACAAAGACAAATGAACAAGACATTTGGTTCTTGAAGTGATTCTCTTTTACTTACGGTTCGGCTTGTTCGCCAAGTCGTTTGGGCAGCTCCGGGTTGAATCCTACGGTCGAGATTACCCGGCCCTACTTTGGTCATCCCTCTGGCACTGTTCGGCCCCTATTTGATCATTTCCCGCTTATATTTCGTATCGCGGTGCACCCTAGCACCACATTCTCGGTGGCATCGAGTAGCTCCGCTTCTCCGACTCCCCGTCCTCCTCGCTGAGCGCTTCCTTGTGTAGCCCTAGTAATCTCCCCTTGCCTGCCACACCCAAGCACCACCCGAACGTTCGCAGCAGCGCGCCTCATGGCGGTACCCGCCGCGCTGTCCCCCGCCGCCTTGCCGCTGTGGCGGCGGATGCTGCAGTCGTCCATCGACGCGCACGCGCACATCCCCTCCGCGTCCTTCGTGCAACTCGTGCGTACCCCTTCCCGCCTGCACGCCTGTTTGCCTGCCTGCCTGCCACTCGCCTCGCCGATGTGAGCGCACCGCTACCATACTTTCCGTGAGCGCGAGCCTCCCTTCGTGTGGCACTCCGTGGTCTCGGGCTTCGTGCGTTGACTCATACTGCCTGCTTGTCCTGCCTTTCGCTCGCATGTATCTCTCCCGCGCCTGTCCCGCGCGTGCCCGTGCTGCGCGCCGTGCTGCGTGCAGGCCACACTGCGCGCCAACCACACGCCCGCCAACCGCACTCTCGTCTTCAGGTGACCCGCCCACTCCCTTCCACCACGACCTATCTACCGCCTTCCCCTTCCTCCCGGCCTTCCCCTCTCCCCACTCTTCTGGCTTTTCCTCCCGTCTCTCCTTTCCCCCCGCTTCCCCCCTCAACGGCAAGGCGACATTATTGCCTCGGCTCTGCAGCGCTCGCTTCCTCCCTTCCCGCCTGCTGCTTCCATGCTCACTCTCTCCTGCCCGGCCCTCTCTCTCCCTCTCCTCCTCTCCCTCCCAACTGCTCCCGTGCTTCCTTCTCCTCTAAATCACCACTGTCACCTACCCCTCTCACCCACCCGTACCATTCCAATTCCCGCATGCTTGTGGGCCCGTCTTCCCTCCCCCAGAGGGTTCATGGATACTTCCGACAACCTCATATTCTACACTGATGGCCGCAGCAGCAAGGTGCGCTTCTTCCCTCTCACCTCCGCCCTCCTCCCTCCGCCCTCCTCCCTCCTCCCTCCTCCCTCCTCCCTCCTCCCTCCTCCCTCCTCCCTCCTCCCTCCTCCCTGCTCCCTCCTCCCTCCTCCCTCCTCCCTCCTCCCTCCTCCCTCCTCCCTCCTCCCTCCTCCCTCCTCCCTCCTCCCTCCTCCCTCCTCCCTCCTCCCTCCTCCCTCCTCCCTCCTCCCTCCTCCCTCCTCCCTCCTCCCTCCTCCCTCCTCCCTCCTCCCTCCTCCCTCCTCCCTCCTCCCTCCTCCCTCCTCCCTCCTCCCTCCTCCCTCCTCCCTCCTCCCTCCTCCCTCCTCCCTCCTCCCTCCTCCCTCCTCCCTCCTCCCTCCTCCCTCCTCCCTCCTCCCTCCTCCCTCCTCCCTCCTCCCTCCGCCCTCCGCCCTCCGCCCTCCTCCCTCCTCCCTCCTCCCTCCTCCCTCCTCCCTCCTCCTCCTCCCTCCTCCCTCCTCCCTCCTCCCTCCTCCCTCCTCCCTCCTCCCTCCTCCCTCCTCCCTCCTCCCTCCTCCCTCCTCCCTCCTCCCTCCTCCCTCCTCCCTCCTCCCTCCGCCCTCCTCCCTCCGCCCTCCCTCCTCCACCCTCCCTCCCTCCCTCCCTTCTCCCTCACTCCCTCCCTCCCTTCTCCCTCCCTCCGTGCCTCCCTCCCTCCCTCCCTTCCTCGTCCCCTCTCATCCACGTGCTCGGCCTTTTCCCTGATTTCACATCTTGCTTCCTCTCCATTCGTTCCTCCCGAATATCACGAGGTGAATGCAAGTCGCCCTCACCCTCTCATTGCTCCAGTGCTCGCTCTCTTGACTCTACCTTCTGGCCTGCACGTGTGTTTGTGAAAGTTTGAAATTGAACCAATGATTTGATTAAGTCACAAGGAAGGATACATAGAGTGGAAGATTGGATGGAAGAGGAGATTGGAAGGGAAGGGGGGAGTTGGGTGGTTGGCAAGCCCCATGCCAACTTGCAAGGAGGGGGCACCCAACTTGTGGGTTGCAAAGAGGGGGTACCCAACTTGCACTTGGGGGCTCCAACACTTATGGGTTGGATTGGCACCCCAACTTGCAAGTCTACACCCTAATGTTGGGTGTAGGCCTACAAAGCAAGCTACACCCAAAGTTGGGTGTAGCCCCAACCCTATTACACTTAGCATGCTAGACTATATTTCTAACAGTGTTCGTACCCCCCCCTCCCCACCTTCCATGTTCTTGCATGCTTCACGGCATGCACATGAGTGACGCACATGCATGTACACCGGCATTCAAGCCCCGTTCACTAGATGGAATCATGGCATCCTGCTGCTCTTCTTGTGTGACTGTTGCACCTCTCTCATTGTGAACCATGTGGCGCACGTGCATGAGGCACCTCGCTACCCATGCAGGTCAAGGAGATCGAGGACTGGCCGTTTGTCGAGGTACACAAGTTGTGAATGCATCTGCTCAATCTCACTTATTTTGTTTGTAAATTCTTCCCTAGTTATTTTCTCCACTTGTTGTTCCTCTCGCCCCATTCTCCCAGTTGTTCCATGTTCTCATGCAAGATGCCCCCCCGCGTCCTCTCTCTCTGCGCTCCCCGTGTGCATCGCAACACTGCCATGGTGCATGATGTGACTGACTGCGCCTCGCTCCCAGCTGTGCTGGTACTTCTCGGAGTCATGGGAGCAGTATCGCATCTCTGGCAGCATGTGCACTGTGCACGCCAACTCGCCCGACCCTGCGCTCTTACAGGTGCCTTCCTGCCCTGCTCCTCCTTCCTCTTTCATCCGCTCTTCCTTTGCTTCCTCCCTTGCGGCCGACTGTCCTTCTTCCCCCTGCCTTGTATCTCCCTCCCCCTCCTCTTGCTTCCTCCTCCCTTCCCCCCCCCTACCTTGCTTCCCCCTCCGTAGTTTCCTCCTCTCTCGCACTCACTCCTGTGCATGCCCATCTCCTCCACCCACTTGTACCCTCTTTCGGCATGTGCTCAATCCATCTCCCTTCTCTCTTTCCCATTGTTTGTGGTTTGTTCTCTGAAGCTCCATGTGTGCAACTCTTCCCTGGAAGTAACTCTTGTGGCCCTCATTCACTGCGCCTATCCTCTGCTTCCACTCACCCTTCTCTCATCTCTCCATTTCATGCGGATTGCTTCTCCTAACATCCGCCTTCAATCCATTCGTTGCGTGCATTCTTATACTTTCTTCCCGCATGCCTGATCTCCTCACCACGTCTCACAGATCTCCCTCCAATTCCTTCCTCTCCAAGAGCAAACATCCTTACCTCCACCCCCTCCCCTGCCCCAATGATTAACTCGCTCTCTTCTTTCTCTGCCGGGCGCTCTCCCTATTCCCTGCGGGGCCCCGCCCTCCTTCTCCCCAGCTGAGGCATGCGGCATGGCAGCCGCTGACAGCGCAGCAGCGGTGGCAGTACTGCAGAGGCCACCCAGGCACGCCCTGGGAGGAGGACAGCGAGGGGGGTGCAGATGCAGCGGGGCGGCCGGATGGGCATGAGTCATCGCTGGCAGCGCTGGCATTGCTGACACAGCCAGACGCACAGGGGAGCAGTGCGGAGGATAAGGCGGAGGCTGAGAAGGCTGAGTCGGATAAGGTTGCGTCGGTGGAGCCTGTGGAGGGCTTCTGCGTGCTGCTGCTGGAGCCCCATGAGGTATGGCCCTCCCACTCACATGCTCACACGCTGACTGGCTGACATGCTGGTTGGAGGTAGGTCCAAGCTTGCACACATGCATGCCCGTGCTTCGTCTGGTCCCTTCTCATCCGCTGCTCCCCTGTGCAGGTGGACTACGTGCACGTGCGCACGCCCTCCCGGCACCGACACACAAGGCGCTTGGTAGACGAGGGGAAAGAGGGGGCTGCAGGGGGAAGAGGGTACGAGTGGACTGCAACGCGCATCCACCTCTAGGCACTCGCTGTTGCTGCTGCTGCAACAAGCTGGTTGTGCGGGCTACGTTCATGTAGCACGTTTGGACCACACGAAGATCGACAGTGAACAAAGCACCTGGAAAATGATCAACTGCATTCTCTGTTTGACCATTACGCCCGGTGATACGGTAGGTTGCCTGAAAGAACCACTCCCCCTTCCCCCCCTGCTCCCAACCTCCACCGCCCACCCCACTGCTTCTACCAATAGACAGTCTTACGGTACATCTGCCGGAGGTCATGTATTTCCCAACTTTGAAGGAACCAATTTTGAGGCAGCAAGTCTCCGAACGTTGTGTATTCTAAAAAAACAGCTTCCACGGTAATAGAGTTCCATAGAATGTGGAAATAGGTCGATTTTCCCCTACTTCCATCACAGAAACACAGCAGTCTCAATGAGCAACAGCACCCTCCAACGCAGCTCAAAGTACCGTAGCAGAATTAGGTGAGTAGGTGCAGAATTATGACAGCAGCTGTTGTTAGATGTCACACACACAGGTGGTCTACCCCTCATTTACTCCTCAGGAGCTGTGGCGTTGCTTGCAGGTGCAGAAGACGCAGAGCATGGTGGTGCTGCTGCATGTGCGTTCAGAGACAGGGCATCAACCATGGTGCTGAGAGGGGCAGCAGCAGAGCCGTCCTTGGCTGGATGGAACGTGCAGGGAGAGGCAGGCGGGGCGGGGGGAGAGGTGTAAGGGCAAGACACGCCACACCCAAGGGAATGGCTGGGACAATGAGGAGAGGCAAATTTGAGCATCCAACTATAGGTTCCCAAGAAACCAAAGCAATTTAGCACACAGAAATGACAACGGGCATCTCAGGAGGGCGAATAAGCATCCGATTAAAGGGCTTGCCTGGTTGTGCTCCCTCTAACATTTGTCCATGAGGAGCGGCTGTTGCCGTGAGCGGACTGGCAGAGTCTGCTGCTGCAGCCGAGGTAGCACCACTGGTAGGGGCAGCAGGCTCCACCACAACTGCCTGTACATGCTCATGTGTCGCAGCTGGCCCGGCAGCAGCAGCAGGGACGGTGCGTGCAGCTGCTTCTGCTCCGCTAGTGGGAGTGCCAGGCTCAGCCTGCCTCCAGTGGGTTAATGAGACAACAGGATCGGGTAAAAGAGAAAAGGTGGCTTCATAAGGGAAAAAAGAAGTCGGGGGACTCAGGCAAGTGCAGCATAAGAAGAATTAGGCAGCATTCAGAGCAACACTGACAGCAGCTGGGCGAATGCTTGAACCAATCTTTTCTTCCCCTGCCACCTGTCATGCTTCAAGCCCCTGGCACCTGTCATGCCCCATCACCATCCTCTACCACTCCGACAGCAGCATAGAGCCACACACACTACACGGGACAACACCCCACACCAACTCACACGGGAAGCAGGCAGCGTAAAAAAATCGAAGAAAGAAAACAATAAGTATAAGGATCACTAAGCGAGTTGGCAGCAAGGCGGATGCTTACGATGTCAGCAGCTTCTTCCTCCTGCAACACCCCCATCACCCCCTGCACCACCCCTTCCACCACCCTCTCCAACACCTCGTCCAACACTTCCCTATCCTCCTCCACCTCCTCATCGTCCTCGCTGCCGTGGTCACTGTGATTGCCCTCCATGCGCTCGTGCGTGGCTGCAACACCAATCTGCACCTCCACTTCCGCCACCCCTGAGCTGCTCGCTGCCAAGTCGTCATGCCCAAGGCGTCGCAGGCCGTACAGATGGCCCTGCACGTGCACAGGCAAGAGGATCAACACAGTACCTCAACCCTGTATGACATCAATGTGAAATTGACAAAGAGAAGACAGGTAGGAGAGAAAGGGGGGAAGGTAGGCGGAGAAGGGGGGAGCAGAAGGGCAGTGGGAGGGAGAGGAGAAAGGAAGCAAGAATGATTAGAAAGCGCAGCGAGGCAGCACATACCATGGTGCAGACGTAGAAGACCATCTCTGGAAACATGACGTTGTACTTATTCATCAGATTGCACACTATGATCTTAGTTGGAGTAGTGTCCAACAATGGAAAAACGTTCCATACCTGCCAAACAACTTGCAGAGCGGGGTTGGGGTTTTGAAGAGTGTCGAAAAAGGGCCGGATTTGAGGGAAAGCACCATTGTGGGATTATTCGATGCACAAAACATCTTGAGATAAGTTTTCTGTGGACCCAAGAGTCATGGGACAGGATGATTGCGCACCTGGGAGGAGCAGTATGGGCAGTGCTCGTCGCAAATGAAGGGGGATTGGGAGGCCAACTCGTACATCCTGTTGGCAAGAGCATGTGAATGAAGGGGCAAAGAGGCATCAGTGGGGCTGTGCTAGTTGATGAGGTTAGGACATGAACATGACATGCATCATTTCCCCCTCCGTGTTCCAACTTGATGAACTGCCTTAACTGACGCCCAACTTTAGCGAGCCTTTGTTTTGCATCACACATGATGCAAAAAAAAGGGTCGCTACATTTGGGAGTGAGTGAAAACAGTCCATCAAATCGGACCGCGGGGAAAAAAAAATATTAAGACGGTTCAGCAAGACATACGTGTCAATGGTGGCTGACTCGCGTGGTACGGAAAACTATACGAAAAGAATAGCTCACACCTTAGGCAACTTTCTTTTATGTCACCTAAGGAAAGCAAGCAAAGAAACACCATCAACCGTACTTGGAGCTCTTAAAGTCCAGAACGATTCCACGAATCAGAACACATGGCATGTCGCTGCGCTCCTCGCCTGAATGCGTATAGCACCCAATTATCAGGAAATGAACCGTTGGAGCGCCGGTGCGGTTGACAGCCATGATCTCGAACTTGCTGAGGCCGTGGCTGTGGGGCGCGCTGGAATAGCCTTCCGGACTGGCCAGAGGCTCCCAGCACGCGCACTCGCTGCGGTCGCTGCACCCGCAGTTCATCGCCTTGTACACCCTGCCTCGCTGCAGCGCGGGTCGCACGCCCGGACACACGTTCACGAGCTTCGCCAGGCTGAGAGTTTCTTCGTTCTCCATGCTACGCAGCATGCGATCCAGCAGTTGGCGACTAAAGTTCGGATCTTCACCGCTGACCCTGTTAGCAGCGGCTTTGTCATCAACGGCGTTGGCATCAGCAGCATCAGGTACAGTCTCGGAGTCGGAGCGTTGCGCGTCGCTCGGGGATGCGTCGAAGGCGAGTTGGTCGCGGCAGTGCCACCTCCAGAGATGCTCCTTCGCCATCCGCGCAAACCCCGTCGACACGCACGCGAGCCGCGCGATCTGCAGCCCCGCGGGCTGCGCGAGGCGGAGCACGGTGTAGACCACGTCCGGGGGCAGCGACTCCATGGCGCGCCGCTATCTACGCTGGACGGCTGGAAGCGAAAGCAGCTGTGATGGATGGGGAGGGGAACGAGGTCTGCCGTGGAAGAGGTGTGGGGTTTGAGAAGGAGGTGCGCTGCGAGAACTATACAGCTCGATCGGGTGGGACCAGGGGGAACCATCGCAACAGTCGCTACCGCAGAGGTAAAAACTCGGGAGCCGATCGACTATCGTAAGGCCACACGGTTGCTGCCGCGATAATCTCAAGGAACTAGCTGTACATGCAAGGGAACTCCAAGGAGAATGGCTCTGTTCGACAGGCACCACGATCATCTTTGTGTGTCTGCGTTTTTTGGTCCTAGGGCGTGTCACCTCGAAATTCAAACGGAGCTCGGCGAAGGGTTACATGCTTCTCATAATGTTGATGCGTCATCTCTAAAAAAAAACTCTCTATATCTAGCAACCCAACCTAGTACAGATGCAACCAATACATATGTGTACGTTGAGAAATCCTATCTCATCTCCAAAAAGGACAAAAAATGTTTGCCCAATGGCAATGTTTATTTACACATGCTTAACGTTTTCTGTAGTTCCAGAACGGGTACTTGTGCTCTAGGTCAATCGTGCTCTGTCCACACAGAAACACAGCACAGCACGCTGAATGAACCACCGCGTGCTCTCCAACGCTGCACAAAGTAGCAGATAGATGGCGGATCGCGACAGAAGCAACAGATAGATGTCACACACACGGTAGCCCACAGCTACTCCTCAGGAGGTGTGGTGCTGCTTGCATGTACAGAGGATAGGGCAGATGGCGGTGCTGCTGCCACATGCGCGTTCAGAGACAGGGCATCAACCATGGCACTGGGAGGTACATAAGCAGAGCCGCTCTTTGCTGGATGGAAAAAGTCCACGACAGGGGAAGAGGTGCAAGGCCATCCGGGCGGGGCAGTGACAATAGGTGAATAATAGCATTCAACACAACAGTAAACAAGGAACCTAGGGAAGGCATACTCAAACAACAACTTAGACTGCATCCGAGCAGGCGAGAGAGCAATTCAGAAGAGGGCTTGCCTGGTTGTGGTGCGTCCAACAGTTGTCCATGGGGAATGGCTGCTGCCGTTGGAAGCAGGCTGGCAGAGTCTGATGCCGCAGCAGAGGCAGCACCGCTGGTAGCGGAAGGCAAAGTGACGCCCACAGGAACAGGTGCATCCGCTGCTGCTGCAGCAGCACTGGCGGCAGCCTCCACCACATGTGCATGTGCAAGCTCAGGTGTTGCAGCTGGCCCAGCAGCAGCAGCAGCAGCAGCAGGGACGGAGGGAGCAGCTGCCTGTGCTCCACTGGTGGGAGTGCCCAGTTCGACCTGCCTCCAGTGGGTTAGCGAGATGATGGGATGGGTAATTGCTTAAGGCATAAGAGAACATTGAACGTACCGACAGCACCTATGAGAATGCTTGACACAATCTCCCCTTCACCTGCCACCTGTCATGCTCCAAGTTACTGTCCTCTACCACTCACACAGCAACATGAGCCACACAACACACGGCACAACACCCCAAACCAACTGACAAGGGGAAGAGCCAGCAGCGTGCTTATCGAAGAAATCAATGTTCGAGCATGACAACCTACGAAGCAAGTTGGGGGCAAGGCGGATGCTCACATCATCATCAGATTCTTCCTCCCCGCTGCTCGCATCATCGTCATCTTCCTCCTCCTCGCTGCTCACATCATCAGATTCCTCCTCCTCCAACTCCCCCCTCACCGCCCGCTGCAGAAACCTCCCCAACACCGCATAGTACGCCTCATCCGACGCCTCCCTCTCGGCCTCCTCGTTGCCCTGGCTGCTCTCACTGCCCTCGTGCCCTTCAACCCTCTCCACCTCCACTTCCGCCATTGAGCTGCTTGCCCTCAAGGCTTCGCCCATACGTCGCAGCCCGTACAGATGCCCCTGCAGGTGCAGAAAGAGAGAGGGTCAACACAGTACCTCCTTATAGAGCATCAACAAGACAATGCAAATGCAGAGATAGGAGGTAGGGTGTGACGGAGGAGAGGTAGGGGTAGAGGAGGGAGTGAGGTGAAAGGAAGGGAGAGGAGAAGGGGAGCGATGAGTAACGAGGACAAAAGGTATCGTGCACCTTGGTGCAGACGTAGGTGACCACTTCCGGGTACGTGACGTAGATCTTGTTCCCCGCGTAGCAAATGAGGATCTTGGACACTCGAGGATAGTTCAACAACCCTAACATGTCCCACACCTGCCAAGGAACGTGCACACCAGGGCCGGGGTCTTTGACGGGAAACGAAAGAGGGCAGGATTTAAGGAAAGGCATCATTGCGAGGTGAGATGATTTTTAATAAACTTAAGAGTCATAAGACAAGGCGGTAGCACACCTGGGAGGAGCAGTATGGGCAACGCTCGTCACAGACGAAGGGGGTCTGAGACTCGTACATCCTAATGGGCGTGACGAAACAAAAGAGCAGAGAGGCGTGGGGTCATGTTAATTGATGAAGACACGAACAGGACACACATGAATGCCAATGAACGAAACTTCTTTTTCCCCTGTGTTCCGACTTGATAAACAGCCTCTGCCTACGCCCACTCGTAGCGGTCATCCTTTCTGAATCAAATACCAGAAGATTGGGCATGAGCGGAATCAGTTTATCAGGTCGGAACGCAAAGAGAAATACGAAAGCATGTCAACACGACACCTGTATAAATGATGGCTGACCAATATGGCACAAGGAAAAAAAAAAGGAGCAGCCTACATCCTGCTCCTAATAACAAGCAAAGAGGAGTGGTTATGCATAGCAAGCACTACAACCCCATCGGCCTTACTTGGAGCTTTCGAAGTCCATAACAAGCCCTCGAATGACAAGAAACGGCACGTCGTCGTGCTCCTCGCGTTGATGCACAAAGCACGCGAACATCAGGAAATGGACCTCTGGAACGCCGGAGAGAACGACATCCATGATTTCAAACTTGGCGGGGCGGAAGTGAGGCGCGCTGCTGGGATGGCCTTCCGGGCTGGCGAAAGGCTGCCAGCACGCGCACTGGAGGCTGCTGCCGCACCCGCAGTTCATTGCCTTGTACTCCCTGCCTCGCAGCAGCGCGGGTCGCACGCCCGGACACACGTTCACGAGCTTCGCTAGGGTGAAAACCTCTTCGGCTCCCATGTCGTGCAGCATGCGGTCCAACCGTTCGCGCATGGATATTGGATCTTCAACGCTGGCCGTGATAGCAGCGATTGCGTCACGAACGGCGTCGGCCCGACGCCGCCGGGCGTTAGCAGCATCAGCTACAGCCTCGGAGTCGGCGCGTTCCGCGTCGCCCAGGGATGCATCGAGACCGAGTTGGTCGCGGCAGTGCCACCTCCAGAGATGCTTCTTCGCCATCCGCGCAAACCCCGTCGACACGCACGCGAGCCGCGCAATCGGCAGCCCCGTGGGCTGCGCGAGGCGGAGCACTGTGTAGACCACGTCCGGGGGCAGCGACTCCATGGCGCGCCGCTATCTACGCTGGACGGCTGGATGCGAAAGCAGCTGTGGTGGATGGGGAGGTGAACGAGGTTTGCCGTGGAAGAGGCGTGGGAATTGAAGCGGCGATGGAACTGCATACTCGGAGCGAAAGCAGCAAAGTCTAATGAAGCTCGATCGGGTGAGACGAGGGGAACCATTGCAACGCCCGCTACCGCGTCCGTATAACATCGAGGACCGTTCGGCGGTATAATCACGAGCCCTTCTACCGTGAGGGTGCCCTCCTATGTGCATGGCTCCATGACTCGTAGAAGGACGTGGGAGCGGCGCTGTGATACAGTTTCACGTGAATCCAAGCGGTCCACTCACCCGCTGTGTCACGGTGCAACACCGTGAAGCCATCCTCTTTACACCTGTCCTTCGCTAGAAAACAGTGAACTTCAAAAGTACTAGTTGGACTCGTCCTTCCCTCTACCCTAGTTTGTACGTCTACTCATTCAGACTATGATTTTCAAAAACAATAACTATTCTTACCGTATGTTCTATCTTTTCTTAGGAGCAGTCTGACACAAGTGTGTGTGTGTGATCTGTTATTCGTCAGCAGTAATCGGTGTGTGTGCGTCAGGCAGGCCTCTAACTGCATAGCATTTCGTAGACCAAATATATACAAGTCTAGCAAAAAACGGGTGTTCACATAGAACACCAAACTGAAACAGCCAGGTCCACATACGCCACCCCAAGGTGTTCAATGTCGGAGGGTGGTAAATACGCGGAAATTTTACCACATCCAGAACATACTCAGTTGTCTAAGGCAGCCTTCGTTATATCCCCTCCCCTCGTCCCATTGCCTTACCCCACCATACTCCCCCTTCTCCACACCACCTCCCCTCCCCCCCACCCTCCCCCTTCTCTTCCTCCTCCTCCCCCTCCCCCGCCCTCTCCTCCTCCCCCTTTCCTCCCCTCTCCTATCCTCTTCCTCCCCTTCCCTTCCCCCTCCCCATTCTCCCCCTCCTCCTCTTTCCCCCCCTCCCCCTCTCTCTCCGCCCTTCTCTCATCCTCCCGCTCCCCCTCCCCCTCCTTTGCTGCGGCCACCATCCTCATTGCTGCAGTGGTTGTTCTTACTATTTGTCATCGTCGCTGTCTTCTTCCCTTTCGAGTCCATACCAGTGCCCCTGCAAGCGTAACGCCAGCAAGAAGGGTGTTGATCATTCACACGACAGATCTCAACACAAGCACAAGAAGTCGGAAAACGGGATGGGGGCGGTGGGGAGGGAGAGAGGAAGAAAGGGATAAGGAGAAAGAGAAGGAAGCGCATACCTCGGTGCAAACACAGTGGACAATGGTCGGAACGGTGCAATTAATAGGTGGATTGAAAACGATGAAGGGAGAGAACGTCGTTGTGAACATAACCTGTACTTCACAACCGTTCCAAACCTGCCAGACATACATTTAACCCACTAGAACAGCATCAACCTCATTGGCACGGACGAAGGTGATCATCTGCTTCAAACAAAACATTTCCTCAATGGCAAAAAAACGAGCAAGTCACGGCGCGGCAAATGCAGTGCAGACACAACCCATACCTCGGAGGAACAGAAAGGGCAGACCTCATTCGGCATAAACGGGTGTTCAGAATATGCATCATAGAACCTGTTGTGTTAGGGAAGAACATCATTGGAGGGAAAATATAAAACGATGACTGTGGAGACAAAGCCATATAGCTGGATCATGCCACAATGATTGATGAGTGAAAAATATGCACCTACGAACATCAGCGGCAGACCGGACACGGCAGTAGTGAGCAAATTATGGCGGAGTAAGAGCAATGAAACCGAAACAGGTGGACATTTTAAACAGAGAAGAGGGACGACTGGATATTTCATACAGCACCAGCAGGTGTGAAGCCTCACTCTGTCTCTCGAAAGTTCACAATGAACCCTTGAAGGAGACAGCAGAGCATGTCCAGCTTCGTTGCCCGCAAGTGGCGTCTGCACATATTCATGAGGACAAAGATCCGAGGATTGCCCCCCCATGCAGACAGCAGCTTAAAAGTCGGGCCAAAGTTTTCCCAGTGCGGCCTGCTGAGCACGCGGCGATCATGCTTCTCCACCTCGCGCGACACCCACGGAGGCGGCTTGCGACTCTCTTTGTACTTGGTGCCCGTCCAATATTCCCGGTTCTGCAGGTGCGAGCGAGTCACGCCGGGGCACACGTTGAAGAGCCTTCCCAGCGCAGCAGCGTCGCCGTTGCTCATCCGCGCCACCTGCCGCTGCAGCCTCTCGCGCCCAGCAGCGCGATCCCTAATATCAGACGCGCTACGGGGAGGGTCGCCGTCCGCGTTATCTTGGGAGTCTTCGCGGGCGAAGGAGTCAGCGAGCGCGTCGCGGCAGTGCCAGCGCCACAGCAGGTCGCCCGCCATGCCGCGGTACCGCGTCGACACGCACGCCATCCGCGCGATGTGCGGCCCGGGTGGATCGACGCGGCGCAGAATTGCGTACACGCACTCTGGCGGCAGGCGATCCATGGGCGCGGATGCGCGAAGGTAGTACTACCGGGCGTTTCACGAGGAAGATGTTGACTGCAACGCGGAAACCGACGATTCAGGAAACGGCGGATCGACAGAAACGGACGGAGGTAATGTGCTGGACCATGAAAACGGATGATCGAACGGAAGAGTGCCGGTGCAGGGGATGGGCGAGGCAGAACGGAAGGCAAGGATTCTAGCCTGGTCGCAATCACCTCGCGGTCGAACGCCATTTGGAGATCTAACGCCTGACAGAAAACTTCAGGACAAGGCACCGACATGCAGGGCGGGTCTTCGCTGACAAGAGAAGAGAATCGCCCGTTTCGCAGCAAAATGGCTGTTGGCGTTTCCGAGGGCGTTTTGTGGAGATGGGAGGTGGGTTGGAGAGTTGGAGAGCCGGAAGGAATTTGCTGTTCCCAAGGTGTTTGAGAAAGTGATGGTTCTGTCAAGGTTCAAGGGTCAAGAATCGATACCTGGTGTCGAAACGTGGTTTGGGAGCGAGTCATACGTGAGAAAATGCCAGAGAGGATGTCTTCAAAACGAGGGGATTTGATTCTTGATTTGTAATTCGCACGTCTTGCCGCCTCTTGTACCGTACCGTGTGACCCGGTGCGCGGCAGGCCTTGTGACAATTTCAATGCTTTCCCATGTCCCTTCTAATCGCAGAAGATTTCTCAGCCGAGCAAAATTTAAAACCAGGGTGCACATTCAACGCGGTTCGGCTTGAGATGTTGGGAAGGGGGTTTGGAGAAAAACAGTGATTGGCTCACGAGGGGCGACAAAAAAATGATTCCGCTAGAGCTTCGGGCATTTCGTAGGTGGCGGGAGGGGGTGAAATGGCGGGAGTGGGTGAAACCGAATGGCGGGAGGGATGAAACAGATTGGCGGGAGGGGGGGGAAACGAAATTGCGGGGGAGGGGGGAAACAAAATTGCGGGGGAGGGGGGAAACGAATTTCGACGGGGAGGGGGAAATGAAATTGCGGGGGCGTGGGGAAACGAAATTGCGGGGGAGGGGGGAAACGAATTTCGACTTGAAGGGGTTGAAAGCACACCTCGTAACCCACTCAGTCAAGGGATAACCTTTGATGCACATTCAGCTGAATGTGCACCCCGGTTTTAATTCAAGCAAAAAAGGGTCAATGCCGGAGAGGGGGGGTATTGGGGATGGGGGTGGTACCTCCCCAAATACGGTAGGGTCCATGTACAGGGAATTCCGTACGGTCTGAACGTCCACATTTGCCACACAAGGTATTCCAGAAATTTGTACGGTACATCCAAACTCAGTTTGTCTTCCCCTTCGTACATCCAAGTTGGCAGGTGATTTTACATCCACTCCACTCCCCTCTTCCTTTGTCTTTCCCCACCATACTCCCCTCCCCTTCTCCCTCCCCCTCCCACTTTCTCTCCCCCCTCCCCATAACCCCCCCTCCGCCCTTTCGCCCCCCTCTCCCTCCTCCTCCTCTCCCTCCTCCCCCCCCTCCGTCTCCTCTACTGCTGCCATGTTGCAGTAGTTGTTCTTACTTTCCGTCATCGTCGCTCTCTTCTTCCCTTTCGAGTCCATACCAGTGCCCCTGCATTTGTAACGCCAGCAAATGCTGTTTAGCGCACACAGAAGAGAAGTACCAGTGCATGCAGAAGAAGTGGGAAAAAGGGCGGAGGGGGGGAGGGAGAGGGAGGGGAACGGGCTAGGCAGACAGAGAAAGAAACACATACCTTGGTGCAAACACAGTGGACAATGGTTGGAACAATGCAATTGATAGGCGGATTGAAAATGATGAAGGGAGTGAACGTCTTTGCAAACATAACCTGGACTTCACAACCGTTCCAAACCTGCCAAACAAGCCTTTAATCCATGAGGACAGCATCAACCCCATTGACACGGACGAAGGTGACAACATCTGTTTCAGGAAAAATAAAAATTCTTGCAATCGCAAAAAAAGAGAAGGCCATGGCAAATGCAGGCACCATACCTCGGAGGAACAAAAAGGACAGACTTCATCCTTCATAAACGGGTATTCAGAATATGCATCATAGAACCTGTTGTATTAGGCAACAAATTTATTGGAACAGAAAAAACAAACACTCATTTTCTGCCAGCCACTTCCGTGATGACTGTGGAGATAAATCCCATGGTTGGATCACGACAATTTGACTGATGGATGAGAATCTAGCACCTAACGAGCATCAAGAGCGAGCGTGATCCAACAACAGCAGATAGACACGGCAGCAGTGGCACACACAATGGCGGAACACGAAAAAGAAGGGACCAAAAACGGATAAACAAGTTAAACAGAGAAGAGGGACGCATTGATATTTGAAATAGCACCAGCAGGTGTTAGTCTCTCACTCTGTCTCTCGAAAGTTCACAATGAGCCCTTGAAGGAGACAGGAGGGTATGTCCAGCTTCGATTCCCGTAAGTGGCGTCTGCACATATTCATGAGGACAAAGATCCGAGGATCGCCCCCCCATGCAGACAGCAACTTAAAAGTCGGACCAAAGTTTTCGCAGTGCGGCCTGCTGAGCACGCGGCGATCATGCTTCTCCACCTCGCGCGACACCCACGGAGGCGGCTTGCGACTCTGCCACTGGCTGAACTTGGTGCCGGTCCAGAATTTCCGGTCTCGCAGATGCGAGGGCGTCACGCCGGGGCACACGTTGAAAAGTTTTCCCAGCGCAGCAGCGTCGCCGTTGCTCATCCGCGCCACCTGCCGCTGCAGCCTCTCGCGCCCAGCACCGCGATTCCTCATCTCGATCGCGCTAAGAGGAGGCTCGCCATCCGCATCGACTTGGGAGTCTTCGCGCGCGAAGGAGTCCGCAAGCGCGTCGCGGCAGTGCCAGCGCCACAGCAGGTCGCCCGCCATGCCGCGGTACCGCGTCGACACGCACGCCATCCGCGCGATGTGCGGCCCGGGTGGATCGGCGCGGCGCAGAACTGCGTACACGCACTCCGGAGGCAGGCCATCCATGGGCGCGGATGCGCCAAGGTTCCGCTGGTGAACACTACTGCAGCGTGGAAACCGGCGAATTGAGAAACCGCAGATCGACAGAAACGGACGGAGGTATGTGTTGGACCAAAAAAACGGATGATGGAACGCAAGGGTGGTGCTGATGCAGGAGATGGGAGCGAGGCAGGACGGAGTCAACCATTCTAGCCTGGTCGCAATCCCCCCGTGGATTAGACGCTCCGAACGCCATTTGGAGATCTATCGCCCGACAGAAAACGTCAGGATAAGGCACCGACATGCAGGGAGAGTGTCTTCGTTGGCGACCTAGAAGCCGAGCAAAATGGCAGCTGATGTTCCCAAGGAGCACGACTGGGTGACCATCCCTATGTGGCTTGCGGAAATGGGAGGGGGTTGGAGAGCGCGAAGGTTGGACAGCCCGAAGGAGTTTGCTGTTCCCAAGGAGCTTGTTCTGTGAAGGTCTGGGGGTCAAGAATCGACACCTGTTTCAAGACGCGGTTTGTTGGTGATCGAGCCAAATCCGAGAAAATGCCAGGCGCAGCACAAAAACCGAGGACGGGAATGAGTCTGAAACGAGAATTCGCACATGTCTGTTGTCAAAGTACAAGTGCTGTTTCAAAGTCCTCCCACTCATCGCAACCTGGCGCACAGAACGAGTTGTTACTACCCCTTGAAGTCTGACAGAATACGCCCTACGCCATCTCCAGCAGCCTGTCCTTGTAGCCACGGACATACGCGCTAGAGAACGATGGAGAGAACAACAGTGTCCAAACTTTGTTTGTGTTCTGTTCAAGACACAGACAACAGCCTACAGCCATCCTCGCGAGCTGGATCGAGGACCAGAGCACGAGCTGCCGTGCAAAGCACACGCTTCCGCATCTCGCGTGTCACGTGTCACCCTCATCGCACCTCTTCCCGTCGCAGTTGTCGCCTCCACTGCTGTAGCCGGCGGCATTCAACCCCAGCCACTCCGCACCAATGCTTAACCAGGCTCGCTCGCGCGTGGCATCACGGCTACCCGCGCCGTCCCACGTGGCGGGCCGGATCTGTGCCGGCTACAGCACGGATCTGAGGGCTGCCGGCTCGCACGACCAGATCGTGAGGCGTGGATCGGGGTTGAGCGACTCCGGTACAGTGCTGCTGCCATGCGACGCCGCTGACACCAGCGCCAGTAAGGTCGCGCTGCTGAATCTCGACTCTTAGTACCTCCCACAGCCCAAATCCCCCGTCGCGCATCCCACATGTCCGCCTTTCCTCCGCGCGACGACCCTTCGCCGCGTCGCATTCCCGTTGCGAAGCTCCCTGACAACTGCTCGTTCAAACGCTGCCGTGCTCGTG